TGGAGGGTAGCACGATGCTACGCCGCCGCTACAACCTGGAATAATGTGCTGTATAGGACTATTAAACTTCTCGAAACAGGAAAGCCAGCAGATCGATCTTGTCGAATTAGCAATGGCATCATCAGAGCGTGTCGAGATCACTGGACAGATGGCTGGATACAGGGATCCTCCATGCGTGGCCGAGTCTTCACTTCCCGGGTGCTTCCAGAATACGAGAGACAAGAAAAGGGAGGATCCGCGCCTCTCCGTGATGTGGGACGTGTAATTTCCCAGAGGAGAATCCTCGGAGCTATGTGTTCTAATAAGCTCTCGGGAACGGGATAATATTGTGACGAAGCCGTAGTAGCTGTTTGAAGTTTGGACAGGCGCAAGGAGCTCTGTGGTTATCCCACGCAATGATCGACTGTGCGCGTGAAACAGATGACGGGATCGCATATGACATTGACGGGGATGGCCAGTAGATAGTCCAAACGCGTCCACATGACGAGACTACACATTGCCCAATATGCGGGTATTTTCGATCAGGATTTGGAAGAAGGGCCATTTGCTGTGACTTGCAATCTTAAAATAGTCTGTCTAGTCGTCGCGACTCTGCTTGTCTGTAAAACTGACAAAATCTGGCCTATCAAAGAGAGTTATCACTTCCGGCGAAGACCATGGAAACAAGCTCAAGGAAACCCATGGCAGAGCTCAGGAAGATGACGGCCATGGCTTCGATGGCTTGTGTTCAGGCCCATCACCAGGACCGTGGAGATCAGGGAAAAGCAAGATTGACCATCTGCACTCGAGAATCAAGGAGATTGTCTCCAGTCCCGCTGACAATCAGCTGAATCAGGTTAAGCTGTGGTGAGGTCGCCGTGGATGATGGAAAGTTGATACGCAAGAGTGGACCACCGATCGCACTTAGCGTCACATTTGACTTTGGAGGAACAGAAAGCACCAGGTCCTATCTACATGTGTTTTACACTTGCACTGCGACCTGCGAGTCTTTGACCTTGGAGGCTAAGCCTATCTAATTCTCAACGGTGCCGAAGGCAAGTCCTCGCCGCAGTTGCTCCTGAAAGCCTCATGGTAAATAGATGATTATCTACTAAGCTGGACCAATGTAATCATAATTAGAAATCCAGACCCTACTAAAATACCAGGGGGCCCCCTGAGTCCACGGTCTGTTCACAATAGACAACTATTGGTGAGATAGTCTCGCTGCAGGGCACGATATGTCCTCTTCGAATCAGAGACAAGCAGCCAGACGCTTCTTTCAGCGTAGACTCGCATTAGACTGCTTTAGTTTCGCAAAGAAGATTTCCACTAGATAATCGGCCGATAGCGCACACGCATAATTGGGGAAGAACCCAGCAATCGAGGATGTACTACGTAGAGAAGTTGGAGAAAGAGAAGGAAGGTAATGGAGGATTGCCCATGAGTATTAGTGCAATACTCAAACAAAGGATGATAACTAGTGCTCGTCGCGGTAGGACCGTAGGAAAGAATCTGGATCCGAACATCATTTGTTAGCGACCGTGGGGAGAGTGGCCCACTGTTCCCAGTCAGACACGGGTACGATCGGGGCTTTGGGCAAGTGGGAACAGAACGCCTCGAGTTTTCCAGTCTTGAGTCGAATCACGAATAAGAATGGCTGAAACGAGGCAATTTTCCCTCTCAGGCAACTTCGGGGATGCGGATTCTTGACCAGTAGCAATCAGCCGGGTGTGATCAGCGATGCACAGGGTAACCTCCACTGAGTAGACTAAGGTACGTACTCATCCTCATGGATCATCTTGCCAAATAATAATCATCCACGAGGCCAAGGACCACGAGGCGATTTTGGCACAACATGATCACCCACTAGGGTCGATCATTATCACCACATCGTGTTTCATCCTCGTCCATTGGCAATAGCCCAGGTCTGGTTTTGAGGCTGGTTCTGGAATTGGAATTTGGGAGCAAACCGATCGACTTCATCCCAAGAGTTTGATCATCGAATTTGAAGGACAGAAGTTGAGTTTGTCCGTCAATAAGAAGTCTTGTAGACTACGGTGAGGAGTGAGGAGTGAGGACTGCAGGTGGGAGCGAAAAACAAACTTTGCCAATCTTCCGTGAATCTTAAATGCGCCATTAAGAGGTAATTGTAATAATAATAGTAATAGTGATAGTAATAGTAATAACAATGGACTTATGAGGAAGGCTTGAAGCTGAGCTCAGTACAGCGGGACTCCCCAGAATTTGGCCCCTCCTAGCTTCCTCTTTCCCATCCCCCGCCAGATCCGGTGATTCGCCGCTCCTTGTCTTTCTTTCTCCGGCATCGACGACACAACCTTCTCCTCATGGCAACTGATCCCCCCTCATTATTACCTACCTATTACTTTCTCATCTATCTTACCTCCTCAACATCCTTCCATTTGGTTCTTTGGACTTTTGCAGGGGGTGTATCACTAAGTTTGCCGTAACAACTATCTATCTCATCATCCCGGTCTATCTTTTTTGCTTCTCTCGGGATTTCTAGCTATGGTTGTTTCCGTTCCAATCGATCGTTAATTGTGCCCCGACTCTGGCTTATTATTATTATTACCTTCCGGTCAAACCGCTGGTCTTCTCTACTTCCTCCCACATTATCAGCTTCATGTCGCTGCCGTTTAGTTCGGTATAGTGACTCTCCTTCTCATGGAGATGCATACAGTGGTGTATCCCCCCCGAAAGCCCGATCCTCCGCCAACTGCACAATCTCAGCCTGCCGCGGCTCCTGCGCCCGACAAGAAGAAGCGCGTGCGTCGATGGCATCGCCGTGGGTTTACAGGTTGTTTAACCTGTAGGCGACGGCATGTTCGTTGCGACGAGGCCTCTCCTTCCTGCAAGAATTGTACCCGGTTAGGTCTCGATTGCGATGGGACTCAAGGTCGAATGACTTTTAAGGTGTATGGCCCATCGCAAGGTGCACAAGAACTGTCCCAGAGTCCGAACAATTTCAGCACGGCAAATGCAATAACGGTCAAAAATCAGCAATTGGATATCAAGCACATCAAGCAGGAACCCCAAGACGACAAGGATGATTTCGTTGATGGCATCGTGATCTCTCCAACCACCATTTCCGACTCGGCTCCGGTCAAATATCGATTCCAAGACCCTATTTCTCCTTCAGGCTTTATGCCCTCTTCGTTAGATTTCGTAGAGGGCCGCTATTATACCCATTTCATCGAACAGGTCGCAACCTTGCTCCTTATCTACGATAATTCGAATAACATCAACCCTTTCCGACAATACTTTCCCGAACTCGCCCAGTCTTCACCATCCGTGGCAAGCGCCATGCAAGCGCTTGGTGCGTTGCACCTCGCAAATACGTCGCCAGGCCCACAGCGCAATGTACATTTTCAACAAGCAATGGGCAAGTATGGAGAGGTGGTAAAGACCTTTAGGACACGCTACACACATCCCGAACATGAAGTTCAAATCACAGACTTTGCAACTTGTCTCTTGCTGTCTTTATTTGAGGTAGGTAACTCCGCAACTGGACCCGTCAGCCCCTCACTGACCTTATCTGATTTAACCCAGATGATGGATTCTGGACATGATAACTGGGCGATCCACCTCAAGGGCGCTCGGGAGATCTACAAATCGCTATTTTTATCGAAGAGAAGCGACCCTGCAAAAGAAGTCCGACGGCTAGCGGAATCGAATCATCCCCTTCGACATTTTCTCATCTCCCTTCTTTCCTATCTCGACGTCGCGGGCGCATGCAATACCAGTGAAGGCACTGTAGTGGAAGGAAGCTACTGGAGGACACACGGAGGCGGATGGGAATACAATCTAGGCACGCCGAGTCTGTCATCGCCCACACCCGGCGATGACCGGTTGAACGAGCTTCGGCAATGCTGGTCCATCATGATGGAGATTCAAGCCGACATTAGCGCTTTTGGAAAAGCGAAACATGAGAAGTGGCTCTCGCCTGCGCAACAAGACGTCATCTACGGTGACTTGTTGAATCGCCTCGTTCAATGGCGCGCCAATGCACCGCAATGCATCCAGCAGCTAGGCGAATTGGACGATGAAAGCCTACAACAATACCAATACCCGGAAGTTATGGAGTATGCCGGATGCATCGAGGCCTATGAGAAAGCGACAATCATCTTCTTGCACAAAGTGATCGCGGCTGAACGTCCCGACCGTCCTCCCCAGACACCGTTCCTGCAAATGCTGGCCACTCGCATTCTCAGTCTGATCAAGAAGCTGGCGAGAGATGTCGGTCTGCTGGCTGTGATGTGGCCCCTCTTTATTGCAGGGCGAGAAACCCGAGATGAAATTCAGCAGAAGGCAGTACGCCAAACAATGGTTGACTGCCGGCGGTTCGGATTCAAGGCACGTCGGCCCGATACCCCGTTGCTCAACTTGACACTTGAACTAACTCGTTATACAGAATGTCGATAGGGCCCTCGAAGAACTAGAGAGAGCCTGGTTTAAACAACGCGCGTTTCCGGAGGGTTGGGTCGACAGGATGGATGATATTCGCACATCGATCCTTCTCCCGTAGATGGCTCTAGGCCACTGGGTTCTCGGCGCCACCTTCTTTTAGGTGTTTCTCGGTCCTGGTACCAGCATGGCTCGGGTGGAAAATTTCCAGTTGATTCGTTCCTTTTATTAGCGATGTGTGGGTTGTTTGGGTTGTTTTTTTTCACTCTGGCGGGCGTTTGGTTGGGCTGGGCCCTTACGACAAGTCGTGATTCATGGATTTCGCTTCCCGGTTCGATTCTCATTTTGCGGACACTTGGTGTCTGGTTATCGTATATAGGACTGTTATTTACTGGCGGGACGGAGGGATGGACATATGGGTTCATTTATGGAATGGGAAATAAGGAATAGACAGGGTGGCGTTGATCACCACGACCTCATTAGCATTCTCAAACTTTATCTTTTCTCACACTATCTTGTGCAAGCCACCCAAAATCAGGGCTAATAGGAGTATATACTACTTTTAGATAATGTACAGTCGGCCTCGTTCAAATCACTTTTCACTGCGATGCAGTTCCCTCATGCTGTACCCTTCTCGACGGACCGACCTCCTCCACCGTCTCCGAGACGGCACCCTTGCTGTCAATGAAATGCGAGATACGGTTCCGGGGTAACCAGGCGTCCTCGGGCATGACAAAGTACGAGATGAGCGCGAGGATCGTCACGCCTGCCATGATGATGGGGGCGTCTATCCAGACAAAACACATTAATAAATCTCGTACAGTGTGAGGTTGGGAGGGGGACAAAGGGTGCGGTATCTTACAGTTGAGATTCTGCCCCGTCACGGGAAACGCGTACGGAGAGAACAGGATGGCAACGACCCAGGCGTTCCAGAATACGCCGATGAACTGGAAGGGCTTGCTTAGGCGACCCAGGCTCCACTTTGGCTTGGGGAAGCGCTTGGGCGTGCAGAGGAGGCGGCCGAGGCAGATGAGGCCGTATGCGGCGGCGCTGGGGACACCGGCTGCGGAGACGAGGGATGTGAAGGCCACGCTTGACGGGAGGAGGGTGCAGGTGACGAGGGCGGCGACGGCCCAGACGACGACTACGGCGTTGCGGGGCTGGCCGTTGTGGACGCGGGAGACCCAGCCGGAGAAGGGGAGGACGCCGTCACGGGCGACGGCGAAGACGAGACGCGAGGCGGCGACGATGGCGATGGCTGTGTTCTGCAGAGGGGTCAGCGTGTGCTTTGGGGGGTATGGTAAGTGGGAGACGGCGTACAAGCCACAGAGCTACAATGCAGATGATGTTCATGAAGACGTGGCCGCCTTTGCCGAGGACAACGGCGTATAGGGACACAAAAGGCTGGGGAGAGCCAAATGAGAAGAGTGTATCGGCGTCCGGCTGGAGCACGTCAGTATCCTTTCTGTATCTGAATGGAGGAGAACGAACCGCGCAGAAGAGGAAAAGGATGATAGTCGCCAATCCGCCGACTCCACTGGCGACGGTACTCCAGAAAATACCACGAGCGGCTGTGACAGACGCGTTCTTGGTCTCTTCCGCGACGTGGCCCGAGGCATCGAATCCAATCAAAATACCTGCAGTTGCCAGGTAGGAAAGACACCAGTTCCAGGCTGGCGGGGCACCGGTACCGTTGTAGGTCGACATGAAGGCTTCGTGGGCAGTCCGGAAGCCCCAGGTGTCGTGAGCGCCGATCGGAAGCCAGATGATGTTGAGCACGAAGTCCAGCATGACCATGGCGGACGATAGGTAGAAGACGAATCGGAAATATTTGGCTAGAAGAATGAGTACACACTGAAGAACAAGGATTTATCACGATGAGTTGGAGCTACGCACGAGGCAAGAAGTTGAGCAGTGCAGCCAATGCGAGCAAGATCTCGGTACAGATCCATTGCACTGCCCGAAATTTGACATCACCAGTGTCGGTGGGGAAGTCGACATTGAAGACTGTCAACTCCTGTCAAAGATACGTCAGCTCAGCCGCTGATTCCTCGTGAACGCACTTGGAAGCTTACCGAGAGCATGTAGTTCACAGCGGCTTGGGTGTTACTGGCGCAAAAGGTAGTCCAGGCAGTGGTACTCCACCAGGCAACGGTGAAACCAAGGAGTCTTCCAAACCTAGGACCGCCAGCTTCCGCAGCCCACAGGTAGATTGAGCCCGCAGATGGTGACGCAGAGCATACTTCCGCGATGACCGCGGCGGTGATGAAAGTGAAGACCATAGTAACCAGATAGCTCGTCCTACTCATCGTGAGTTTCCATATATCGAAAGAAGTGCTCTTGACTTACCAGTAAGCTAGGTTACCACCAGCTGCAATACCAGTACTGAAAGTCACACGGACTCCGCCAACGAAGTAGAGCGCAGCTGATCATGGTATGTTAGTGATGTCGGGGAAAGAACGCTTTGATAAGGTGCATATCTCACCAAATGTCGTCGAAAAGTTCTCGAGGAGACTGTACGTTCGATGAAGCACCTGAAGATGTTGTAAGCACCAAAGCTCCACCTATTATAAGGTGGACCAGGAAGCCTACTGGTTTGTAGCCCATCGATTTCTGCAATTTCGAGTCAGTATTGATATTATCACTATTATTATTGCAGTTTATCTCCTCGTTTGCAGGAGTGAAAAGGGTCTATCCACTAACCAATAGAGCCGCATCATCTTGCGAACTTGTTTCGCTTCTGTCTTGTTCACCAATGACAGGGACCTCGTCTTGGTCGACCAGAAGGTCTGAATGGTGTTGGGTCGTGGGAGCCATGGCTGTTGTAATGCCTTGATGACAGACCTCAAGTATTGACAGTATCCAAAACCCTCACTCCTGAGGATCAAAAAATGTAAGAAGGAAGGGAAGTCAAAATCAAAAAAAAGTGCGATATGCTATCGTCTCTTCGTAGATGATTGGAGTTTTGTGGATATCTTCTGCACCTCCCGCCAGGAACCTGCCAACCCCACTGTTAGCGGCGATGAAAAGTTTCAACGGCAAAGGGGATATGCAGGAAATAGTCTAGTCGTTGGTTCGTCTTGGAGATTTCAAAGCCTCCAATATGCCATGAACTAACGGACAAATTTCGTTTGCCGAACGAGGCAACGACCCTGGAAGTAAAAAATTTCACTTACTCGCTGTCCAGGACTACGAGTTGAATCCTTGTCTTCCAAGCTTCGATTCAGCCCCCGGAGATGTCTGGTGCGCAGGAGATTCAACTGGACAGCACGCTAAATACGAGGCTAGGGACGCTGAGGCCAGAGAACTGCTTTTTTTTTCCGTCTTCCACCCAGAAAAGCCAGGTGGTGGAGTCTCCAATCAGAGCTCACTGGACGGAGCGCAAGTCCGTGGGTCATAACTGGGAAGCTGTCCCTCTGGGATCAAACCTGTTGCATCCTAGAAATGAGCGAGAATGACGGCGAGAGGAGTTTTGCCAGTTTGCTTTACCTGACCTATTGGATTAACTCATCCCCATTGATGCCTTTTCATCGTTAAGACGGTCGAAAGGACTGGTTTGACCATCACCTTGAGGCCCTCAGATCGAATGACAAGAGCTGGAAAGCTGCGGGACCAAGACTGGTTGAGCCGATCACATCATCGACAGTTATGGCCCCACCAGTCATGAAAGAGAGGACAGAGCTCGAGATCATAAAATCCATCTTGGATTGTGCAATAGTCATTTGCAATAGTCATACGATGAATGTCAGATTGGGATGATTTGCAACAATTCAATGGAACCATCATCTTCAGTGTCATTGTGCTAAGAGGGTAGAACACAACTGATGTGGCCGTGCGAAGTGTCATTAGATCAATGGATGTCACGTGACATAACCATTTGTCCTACAAACAACGTCCTCTTTGCCGTCATCCATCGACATCTGGACTGGAAATGTACATTAGGAGAATCATTATCTCGGATGGCTCAGTGACCGAGTCATTGGCTCTCATTTTGGCTTCAAACTTCCACCGGAATGCTCTCTGATGGCACGTCTAGTAGGAGAGAGATATAATACTAGCAAGACTGTTTTATTAGAAGGCTCCAATGCTGGGCTACAACAGACTGCGGTAATTTCTTCTCCAGGATGGTCATTCATGCCACTGCTGCAGAACAGCAGCTACTGCCTGGCTAGAAAAGCTCTATTTTTCTTCGAGGATGAACTTTGCACGCATTGCCGCGTTGGCAGCTGACAATGGCCCCCAATCAATAAAAGGTGAATGTCATTCGAGCTGTGTGTCATTCACATCCGCTGGAGAGCACTTTGAAAGCAATGTATTGAAGAGGGCTTTCAGGCAGTGAATGACAAAGAAGCCTCTATCTACCATGCTGTAAACTTCATCTATCTCTGTGAACTCTCCTCCATCTACTTCTCCCTCGCTTCTCAACATTTTGCACTTCATTTTGACCAAAGGACCTTACAAGCATTTCTTCAGTACAATGCCTGAGATTAAACTTAAAATTGAAGTAAGTCATTCGCTTATACCCTCATTGACACAACGATTACTGACTGCAAATTCTCGTCCAAGATCACTGGCTTGCCAGAATCGGTCGTTCCCAGGTTGCGAGATCTTCTCAAAGACTACCTGACCAACTCCAACGACTCTGACATCAATCCTCCAGAACCTGGACGGCGCTCTGTGAAGCTGAAACTAAAAATTGCAGGGGATGGATCACAGAAGACCATTCGTGTCACCAAAAAGGAGAAAAAGGTGATAAGGTTACACGAGGAGATGGCCTACATCAACTCAGCCTGCGAACGGTCTCAAGCATTGCTTGCATCATATTTTCCGTTTGATGAGGATGACTTCGACTATGAGAGGCGCGTCACATTGACTCTAAAGGTCATCACGAAACCGTTACTTATGAACACAAATGCCGCTGCCAAGGCCTATGTGGTGAGTTATCCAGCTGTCTCGGGGGTGTATCTCTAACCAAGTTTCTGAAACAGGAAATTAAAGAGGATGTTGATGACTGTTGAAGACTTGGTATATTCTGGCTGCGTCCCATGGCCACATGCAAGTGCCTTCAAGCCCTTAGTTATGTCTCGCCCTCTTCGAGTACCGAAGCTTTCGTGGAGCACTTGGGACGGTTATCCAGCATGATTCCAAGGAAGGAAAGAGGTATTTCAGGAGAAATGTCAAATGCTCAATTGAATTTGGAGACTGTCCTCCTTCAGAGAGCTTTGTCTTTTGTATGCCGTGATTCGTATGCTTGCGAAGTACATTTACCCTTGCGTTGAGCTTACGGAATTTGATTGAATGGTGTGACCAGAAAGGTCTAGGAGGTCGGTCAGGACATTTGTTGTAATGGACAGGAGACTTCCATTACAGCATTTTTAACAAGAGGAGACCTCAGGAGTATGTTCTGCTTTCACTTAAACTTTATGGAGCATGTACTCCATCTTCCTCGAGGACACAACTTCAACAGTAGGCATGTGCCCAAATAATAAACCTTAGCTCTCGCGTCTCAGCCAGAAGGCATCAAACAGCTGAAAACTCGTTACTTCGCTTACGAAAGTCTCAGAAGGAGAACTGCTACCTGCAACCCATTTTCGAGCTCCAACACTTGACTCTGTAGCTGTTACTGAAGGACGGATACGCTCAGCAAACTCACCGATCAAGTCTGTGGGCGCTATGCATATCTCTTTCCTTTTTCCTGTGCATATATCGATTGCAAGTTGTATATCTTGAATCAAGTTTGCCGATTCACTTTTAGCTCGTGACTTGCGGGGGCAAGCCCCTCTTAGACTTGATACTCTTCCTTTAGCTTCTGTTATAGGTACCTGATACGGAGTATAGCTCAGCCAAGCTTTTACGTAGGACAATGATGTAGAGGTCCACTCATGTGACGAGAAATGCTTGAATTGTCTGAAATAGTACAGGAATAGCAATATGCATTGATCTCATGGCAGACAAACTCACTCTTGTAATATACTGACTATGTCATGGTGTATGTAGAGCATGCAGGCATATACAGCAGATGCAAAACAAATAACAACTCATATCAAAAAATCAAAAGCAAAGATTCCTGCACATCTCTCACTTGCGTGCCTCAAGTCCAGCTTTGATGGCTATACCTAGTTAGAATTGGCCCTAGTAAGTTGACAAGGAGAGAACTCACCATCACAAGAGGCCTTCGCATCTCCAAACAACATCCTCGTACCGGGCATGTAGAACATGGGGTTGGGCACATCGGCTATGTTCCCTTAGTGATATGTTCCAGACAAAGATGAAGGGACTTACCGTATCCGCTGGACATGCCGCGCTTCATCACAATGACTTCTTTGCTCTTCCAGGCATGCAGGACAGGCATGCCAGAGATCGGGGAGTCGGGCTCCATGGCGATAGGGTTGACGGTATCGTTTGCGCCGATCACCAGGGTGACATCCGTGTCCGGGAAATCGTCGTTTATCTCGTCCATTTCAAGTACGACTTTGTCGAGTCAGCAGCCAGCTCTTATTGTTGGGAACCTCGAGATGTGTGGCGGGGACTTACTGTCATATGGCACTGAAGCTTCAGCTAGAAGCACATTGCATTGTCCGGGCATGCGGCCAGCTGCGTGATTAGGTCAGTCAACTATCCTTCTAGAACCCGCTGAGATAACCTGAGGTGAAAGAACGTACCAACAGGATGGATGGCAAATCGTACTTTGACGCCTTTAGCGCGCAACATTCGGACGATTTCTGCAAGCGCGTATTGGGCCTTGGCCACAGCCATGCCATAACCGACCACCTGGAGCACTGTGAGCTTCGATCATGGAAGAGTCAAAATCAACATACAATAATTACGCTCTCGGCATTTGATAGGGTTTCCACAGTATCATCCACCGTAACTTGAGTAACCTGGCCCTCGATCTTCTTCTGCCCTTGTTGAGGGGCCGCAATGCCACCAAAGAGGACATTTGTAAGGGATCGATTCATAGCGACACACTAACCTCAGTCAGCGAGATCCGCGAATAAGCAGATAAAGGCACTAACCATGATGTACGACAAGATCGATCCGCTGACCCCAATCAACGATCCAACGCTTGTGAGTAGTGGATTGTTAAGCATGAAGCCCTCTGCAACCAGAGCGAATCCCGAGTATGCATTGAGAACAGTGATAACAACAGCTTCATGGTGTTAGTAATCTTTCCAGTGTGAGGGCGCGGGAACATACGCATATCAGCTCCTCCAATGGCAGCAGTGGTCGTATAGCCTTTCAGGAAACTTAGGATGGTATTTGCACCCAAGCACGTAGCGGCAATGAGCGGAGATGCAGGGCCCATGGACAAGAAAGCTCCCATTGTCGCCAGATTTGTCCCAAGCAGAGTCGAATTAATAACGTGGCGGCCTGGAAGAATCGTGGGTTTTGACGACAGGCGGCCCGCAAGCTTCAGGAAAGCTACAATGGAGCCAGTAAACGTAACGCCACCTGTGCAGCGTCAGTAGTGTATCAATCGCCTGAATCTGAGCTAGTACCAATGAGAACACCAAAATACGCAGTCACCATGTGCAAGGTTGAGATGTCAGCAAGATCGGCCATCACGCTTCCAATACTTGTGAGAACAGCAGCCAGACCGACAACTGAATGAAGGGCTGCCACTGTCTGGGGTAAGCTAGTCGGGGTAATGCGACGTCCAATCAATGCTCCTGTAAGAATGTGAGCCCAACCCTTCTAGTAACGATAGAAATAGTCAGCCGAAACAGGGATAAAAGAACATACCAACTAGAGCACCGCCACCAGCCATTGCTCCGAATTGAGCCAGGACCTCTGGTGAAAATCCTACAGCAGCAAGAGATGCAAGTATACCAGAAGCAACTCCCAGAATACCAAGGATGTTTCCACGGCGAGCAGTTTGCTGGGAAGCAAGGCCGGAAATTGAGCCTGGTTACCTTTAGTATACAGAGTGCAGGTTTGTCACAGTTCCACTTACTGATGCAGAGAAGAGTGCTGACCAGATAGCCAGCACTCACTAAACCAGCCATTCCAGTGCTAGCTGCTGCTATAAATCCACCGCCGAAGATAACACCGGGTATCGCATAGAGCCACGGATATTCGGGCGGGTCAGTCGGGCCTACAGGACGGTAAGTGTTTCATCTTCAATAAGGGGTGGAAGACTGACGCTTGAACATATCTAGCATGCGCTTGGTAATAACGAACCCTCCCGCAACGTTCATTGATGCCAATAGGACCGAAACTGCTCCGAGCGCTTCCGGGATCGTGCTAGGCGTATAGCCTCCACCCATTACGAAAAGACCACCGATGCCGACCATGCCTAGAATCCATGCGTGAGAATGCTACAATAACCCTTCTTTGAGATAACATGCCTGCTCACCTGAGATTGCATTTGTCACACTCATCAAAGGAGAGTGGAGAGCTGGAGCAACGCCCCATACAGCACGGTAGCCGACGAGACCAGCAAGCCCAAAGGTCATCATGTTGCTCATGAAAATGGGACCAGTGGCTTTTCCCAGGGCAAGTGCAGTTCCCATACCAGCTGTAACAGTGGCGACATCGCGTGTAGCCTTTTGCCAGGGTGTGACTGATAACTCGGCTTGTTCCTTGGCTGGAGTCGCCGCAGCTGTCGGCTTAGGTGGCGGTGGTGCTGGTCGTGGAGCTGGTGGTAGTATCTCGCCGTTGAGGGTGACAATAGATCCGCGCACAACCTCGTCCGACAGGTCAATGCCAAACGATTTCTCTTGTGGCGCCATGGACAGAAGGAACTTGGTGATATTGTTCGAATAGAGTGTGGATGCTTGGGTCGGTAGGCGTGACGGGAAATCAGTATATCCTGAATTGGTCAGCATGAATATACCGAGATTGGACAGGCTTGAGCTTAAACTCACCAATGACAGTGACACCGTTGTAATTAACCAATTGTCCAGGAACAGTTGCTTCACAGTTACCACCAGCCTCAGCTGCGAGATCGACAATGACCGACCCAGGTTTCATGGCAGCGATCATCTACTATAGATTAGCTCCTGCTGCAAGGACGAGGTTGTGAACTATTCAAACCTCCTTGGTAATTAGTTTTGGTGCAGCCTTGCCCGGAATCAGTGCTGTTGTGATAATAATATCAACCTCACGGGCCTGTTCCATGAAGAGCTTCATCTCTGCGTCATAGAATTCCTTGGACATTTCCTTGGCATATCCGCCCTGACCAGCACCTTCTTCCTGAATTTCGACCTCGATGAATTCGGCACCTAAAGATTGAACTTGCTCACGGGCAGCAGAACGCGTATCAAAGCCACGGACAATGGCACCTAAGCGACGAGCCTATGCATCGTTGGTAGAGAGCTTTGAATGTCAAGCAGTGCAGACATACCGCAGCGATGGCGCTTAAACCAGCCACACCAGCACCGATAACCAAAACCTTGCTAGGAGGTATCTAATTGCAACAATCAGTAGTAGCTCCCTTTTTGTGGAGGTGAACAACCTTTCTAAAGAGGCATGGTTAGTAGGTCAATATCTCAATGGGTTCCACATTTCTTACCCAGCAGCTGTAACTTGACCAGTTAAGAAACGACCAAAGTGGTTCGATGCTTCTAAAACAGCCTTGTACCCGGCGATATTGGCCATAGAGCTTGCCTCACCGTTAGCATCGACCACCTTTTGATATAACCGCTCATAAGCCCCGTGGGCAACTCACCTAAGGGCATCAAATGTCTGGGCACGAGAAATCCGAGGGATCATATCCATGGCAAAGGCCGTGACTCCGCGTGACGCAATAGCCTCTACCAGCAGCTTATTCTGGGCAGGATACAAGAACGAAACCAGGGTGCTTCCCTGGCGGAGGGCTTCGACCTCATCTATGGGGCCCTCCTGTCGGGGACTACGGACTTTCAACACGATGTTACTTTCGGACCATACAGCAGCACGGTCGACCAGGGTAGCTCCAGCTTGTTCGTAGGCCTGATCATGAATCTGGGCTTGTTCACCAGCTCCGCGCTCGACTAGTACGCGCGAGAAGCCTTTCTTCAGCAGCAGAGTCACGTTCTGCGGTGTGAGAGCCACGCGACGCTCATTGGGCCATGTCTCGCAGGGGACGCCAACAGTCAGCGAGGAGTATGGGACAACGGGTACATTCGACGGCGCAGAGGCGCTGCTCGCGGTTCTCTTCGAGATTTGCGGCCACTGAGGGATGAAAGGGAGCTTATAATCGTTCCGCTGGCGAACTGGGTAGAATACCTGTCGTGTCTGAACCGCTGAAGTTCCAGCAGAGTTAGTACTCAACAGCAGGCCCTCTAGGAAGCGAGAGAGCTGCTCACAAAGATGGTTCAGGGACAACAATGACTTCCCTGGGTGGGATCTGCAAGCCGCCCGAGACGGCCACAGAGCCGACCGCAGGGTCAAAGGCGCACTCATCGTCAAGATCAACTACTCGAGGATATAGTGTCGCGAGCCGTCCGACAAACGTATCATTCCTGGAATTCTCAACCCATCGACAGAGGCAAGGGCGAACTTCAAGCCAAAGGTGGGATGGAGGGAGGGGGCGGTCGGTGGTAAATAGTGCGGAGTCGAAGCGGACGAGAGGTACCCGACCTATACAGGGATAAACGAAGAGGTCAATCCGCGAATCCTAGGACTGATTGGATTATGTGACGCTGCTTACTTGGCCTTGGTCTAGCGATAGGAGCGACGCAAATCGAGAACGGACATTGGATGGAGTCTGGACGGACTGCCGCAAAGAAGGGGGAGGAGGCTTCTGGGGTTGCTTGGGCGTGGCGGGGAAATAATGATTGATCAGGCGCGACACAAAGAACGAATCCCACGAGTGAATCCTCAGGAAGAGGTGTGATCAATCAGGATCGATCATCCTGATTGGTGTGCTGCGCCCCCGTACTGCATATTGTTCGATCGATGCAACAGTGGCTGCCATGCCTAGTGTCCATTATTCATATTCCTTGCAAGTCCAAGAAGCGGAAAATGAGGGGAAAGCTGGGGATCATGTGGGGAAGTTACCAGAGTCACTCCACTGCTACTATACTACTATACTACTATGCATCTTCACAATTTGAGGATTCCATTGTCATCACATTGATACTGCCATCAAATTTCTGAACACCCGAGTATTTGAAACAAATTTGAAATGTTGACATGTTCTACAAGGCTCATACCATGAACACCTTGATCGAAATCATCCCGCAGGCGATACAAATCCCCACAGCCTCGTCGTACTATCTGATAACTTGCCGATAAGGCAGCCATTTAGAGGCAAGGACAGGCCATATGCATGTCTTCGATACTGTTAAGGCCACAATTGTCAAAGTGGAGAATATGCACAGACATCGTCTCACATCACGAATTACACATTCATGCTACGGACGGGCCACATGAAACAGGATGCCACTTGAAAATCTATACGGTTTTCCAGTTGATCGCCTATTCACTTCTCTGGCTCGCTTAACAGCGTCGCTCAATGCTCGATCAATTTTGCTGGAGGTTTGCCTGTGATCAGGTCACGAGGCGCAGAACCAACGACATCTGGAACTTCAGGTCCTGGGATTCAGCCCTGCAGACATGTCGCTTGTACGATGCCTTTACCGGAAAGAATGCTCAAAGCTCAGTGGAGACTATATGCTTGAGCTTGAAGATCTGGTTGTTGCATTTGGTGCAGACATCAACGAACAATCGAAGCCACCTGTCAAGCACACAGTGCCATGCTGGTATCTCCATGCATATTCCAAATAGCCCTGAGTGTGGCTTTGAACGCTTAACCGAACGATGCTCCGATAAGCGTCGAGCAATACACCAGGAAAATGAAGGCTGAAGCGCACGATTTGGAATCCACGACAGATTCAAGACCGAAGAAACTATGTATAGAGGTGGCCAGTTTTTCGGCCAAGAGGACTCTCGCTCCCAGGGCTTCGATCATGACTAAGACAGTTGTTGTTGACTGTACACTCCCCGTAGGAGTTGATATAGTCACCGTAGTAGTAGATTCTGAAAGGACAGTTGCAGTACGCCTCTGGCAACATCAGAGATTCCACAAGAGGACAGATGGCCCCATGCAGTCCAATTGACCAAATCCTTTTTCTAAAGCTATTAGTTAGCAGTTAGATTACATACAAGCTCCGCAAGGTCATTATACACCACCATTTTGCCAGCCAGGAGCTGGACCGGCACATTGACAGCGATCTTGACCATCTTCGCCCAGTGGCGGTATTTGAAACGAGCTGAGTACGTCAACGTTATCCAGTCGAGAGATGCCTCTGTGTTCATTTTTTCACTTGGGCTGGTAATTTAGCTAGAACTAATTAGTTCAAATCTGACTTACATTGGATTTCTTGCTTACAGCTTCATCGACTCGGAGGATGACAGAGCGTTTACTCTGGTATATAGACGTGGGATTCGATCAACTCATGGTGTATATAAGTGATACATAGTAGCATGGCAGAAGAGCAGGAAAGATGACCATCATGATATTTATAGGCAAGATTGGCAACCATAGAGTGCTTCTAAGACATTATTATTTTGTCAAAGATAGGACTACTAGCCTACTCAGACAGAGAACCTATATGAAAGACACTGTCCTAATGAATCTGCAGCGTCTACCACATAAAGCAACAACAAGGACTCAAAGCGACCTTCCTCTTTGCAGATACCAACGGACAACGCATGAGCTTCCATTAGCAAACAGATTCCCATACTGGTTAGTTGGCACTAGAAGGAAGGCGCTGTAAGTTCTTAGTTCGTTTCGTTGTGTTTCAGATCCGGGGCTATCTCACCGTACGCTGCAGTAAACAGATTCCCCCAAGTTGTGTTGCGGACCTTAGTAAGGTAACAAGGACAATAGAAGGGCAATCAGTCGAATAGAGCATGGTCGTAGAATATGCGTTGGATAATGATATCCTGTGGTTATGGCTGGACGATTGCTAATCTAAGGGAAATTCTACGCGAGATGAACGGAGCTACGGAAAAGCGTGGCACAGCTCGATATGGGTATTGTAAGGAGTGGTCAAAATTGAAGCAGAATAATCTTCTCATTCCAATTCGTGTGCGTTGTCATGATAGTCAATGACAAGAAGGACTCCAGCCTCAGTCCAGGAGGTATCCAGCGATGACTGATCTAGTCAATAGATATTATACAAAAAGAATTAGACAATAGGGTAGACAGAAGGGCAGTACAGTCAAAATCAAAATCAAATCTTCCGAACATCAGAAAGCCGCCATAACCGTGTTACAGAAGGATATCGTAAACGCCTTTCGCCAATAAATAGAACCCAAGAGTGAAGAAAAGAAAGAAGAAAGAAGTTAAAAAAAAAAGAAAAAGCCATGCTATGATCGATGGTTCCAGATGGCAGATTTTCTCCTCCCTCTCAGCATAAAGCCCATGATGCTCTTAGCGGTGGACTGTTCCTTGCCCTCCTGCTTCGAGAACTTGCTGCGCTTCAGGCTCTTCTTTCGGCTCACGTTAGACTTTCCTGCTTGATGGACTGGCTCAGGTGCATCCACACTGTGGACACTCTCCACCTCTGATCGAAGGCTGCTGGAATAGGATGACTTAAAAGAATGCATGGTGGAGTTCCGCTCCGGAGGGGGTGGGCGATAGCTGGTCGGCGTGGGTGCACTGCTGTTGCTGTACACAGAGCCGGATCGGCCTCGACTGAAAGTCGGCGAGGAATAGTAAGGAGTAGAACTTTGAAGCATTGGAGAAGGAGTGCGACAGGTTTGTAGCGGAGATGACTGTTCGGAGCTCACGCGCGTGTGGGACGCGGAGGTGGGTGGTTTGTGAGTGTCTAAGCCCGCAGATGTGGAAGCGTGTCGTGCGTGGGAGAGTAAGGCGCTCGCACTACTCAAACTTCGCAACGAAGGGGGCCGTCGGAGGGATTCGGTAGGTAGACGCGAGCGTACTGCAGTGTACAGTGAGGGCAGCTTTTGGGCGGGTGACGCTCTTGTGCCAGAAAATGTCCTAGAGCGAGACCGCGGCGACAAGGGCTGCGGGATCTCGGGGACTTCGGACAGCGACTGCATCGTGGCACTAGACCTTGGCAGCTCAATGCGTCTCAACCCCCTAACCGATCCCGATGAACGCCCAGTTACCGAGACACTGTTGCGTTTGAGCTGCTTTTCATTCGTTCCTTCAGACTCGCCTGTGCTAAGCAAAGGTTGAGACTTGGCTGCCCGCCCGAGCGAGTAGATACCCTCGCAAGTACCCTCATCGGAGGCGTTGCTTGAGCTATGCTTGCAAAAGGTGTCTTGCTTCTCCTCAGCAGACGAACCAGGCGGAAAATATGATTGCTCGGGACTGATTTGAATCAAGTGAGGTTTGGAGATAGGTTCCACATATGTGACCTGCTCAGCTACGAGGACGTCAGTCTCTTCCTCTGAGTAGACAGAGGTGGGAGACGGCGATCCCTTCGACCGAGCAGTCGATGATCCGGGTGACCCAGGGGGCACATAAACAGTGGGCTGTAAGAAGATTGGTGACGGAAGTGGTGACATGTGATTTGGAGAAGGCAGCTCGATAATCACATCATCATCGTCGTCGTCGTAGACGATGGAGTCGGTGGCAAAGGTTGCATTGCTGCTTCGCTTCACGGTATCCATTGATACGGGACGCGACTTTCTGCCTCTCGATGGGTAGGGAGCAAGTAGCCGGGCAACTTGACGGTTCCCTGGCTCAGGTTCAATGTCGCGAGATAGCTCTTCCGTGCTCATATCAGAAAACGTCCCTGTAGTGTCATCAACGGGTGAGAAAGCGTTATCGTGTCCACCATGTTCTGACTCCGATATCTCTTCTTCGTCCGACTCGTAACGTCGTGGCAAAAGCTGCTTGTTTGTGTAATCGAGACTGAGAGAATCCGCGGATTGGTACATTTTCTATATGAATGTAGAATAAGAAGAAGATGAACACCCAACAGGCCAGTGAAGGAGACTTGTTCAAGAAAATAAGGCAAGAACTTAGTAAATGGAGAATGAAGAAGTCCAAAGGTCTCAGATCCTGAAGGTCATCAAGGGTGGACAAAGGAGTGCAGCATGTCAAAAGAGTGTGGTGATTGACCCAGGGGAACAGGGGAAGAGAGCAGTAGTTCAACGGGATATAGACAAGGATATATTAATCCTGGATATCTCCTCTTGTCCCACACGGGTTGGCATGCTCTAAAGGAGTGGATCCTACCCTGGAAGGTTTTTCTTATTTTTTTGAACAAGGAGGAGACCACCCTCGATGCCATCAGATTATACAACCGCCAGAGAGGACGGACTAACAAGAGCTCGGTCCACAGTCGGGTTAGTCAATATCAGCGCAAAAATAGAGAAAACAGCCGTTCACACGTGCACAGGGGCAGCATTGGTGCGCCTTTTTTCCCCCCTCTTTCTGCCTCTTCCCCTTTTCTTTTTTCCTGCTGGGCCAGAATCAGGACAGACTATGTTGGGACTGCAATGAACAGTGCTTACGTCGGCGGTTCATCCTTGCCGACTCCTGCAGGACAAGGAGTGAACCGTTGCCTCAGGATATCTGGAGAGCGACCCTTGCATTTGAGTTCTTCGCTAAAAGCCTGCATTATCACCGGGCCGAATTAAAAAAAGAAAAAAAGGCTGCGAAAGTATGAGTGTTAGGCAATTTCATGTAAAGTGTCATTGCGCCAGTCACCAGAATCATATGGGGCACCACGAAGGTTGGAGAAAATTCGACGTATCAACGTGAGCTGTCATTTGATAGGAGATCAGAGGTCAATGCTTGCGGAAGCCAAAAAGGCCAGGAATAGCGTATTCTTAATGCAAGCTCTTGGATTAGGAAAATTTTGGCGGCAACAGCTTGATTGCAGTTCTGCATTGTCCACCTCAACGGGAATGGGAAGGACGCTTTTTGGGTAACGCTAACAGGCAATCCCCTGATTCCCCTCAGACATGCGGATCTAAGGTAGGAAGATGGACTCGGCCAAGACGCGCGCTAAGTATTCGGGCCAAAAGCCGGGGCCATGTGGCAGACTGTACTACTTTGGTAGAGTAGTGTAGATGTTCTACTCTCTTGCTGATCTGCCTGTCTTCCCAAGAAATTGCCAGTTCGAACTTCGAACTATGATTCACAACTGGTTGAACAAAGGTTGACAGGTGGTCAAAACGCCTTCTCGAAGGCCGGTTTGCCTTCTTAGTCGGTGATCAGTTCTCTCGTTCTCTGCCCTGATTCTCATGTCAATATCTCAAGCCACCAAATGCTCTGACCACCCATTATCTTCCCGCGGCTGCAATTGGATAACTCAGATTATCCAGATTTCTCACAAAGCCGCGTACGATACAGAGCCAAGTAGGTATTATGCCGCAGCATCAATGCAGTTCACAGATAGATAGATAATAGCAGATCATATCATATCGTTCTGGCAAAAGCTTGCCAAGTGTGATGTGTAAGATGTTCCTGAGGAGTTGCCAAGGTAGACCCGCTGCTACACCATTGTGGGGCGTCTTTAACCCAAACGCACCATCATCCCCCATCAGCCCAGCGAAGCGAATAATCGTCGAGTCCGGTTCCACTCGCTCATGGCTGGCTTGTTTCTTGATTCTCCTTTGGGCGGACTGATATTTGTGATTTCGGCTTATTTTTGGGCACATTGAGACGACCAAAAGTTGAACGCAACAACCGAGAACGAATAGGAGATTTTGAAAGCTCCACGGTAGATAATAGCTGGATGACCTCCCTGCAGGAAATCTATGATAACCCTTGCAGCAACCATCCAAGTGAACTCGACTCTCATCAGTCATCACTGACAAACGGCATTATGGCCAACTTTGGATAGGCCAGCCGGATACGAGCGTTTCAGAAAGTCTTAGAGTGGTTCGCTCGCAGTTTCGAACTGTGTCATCAAGAAGACAGAACAGAACATGCTGAACCCATGCAGAAAAAAAAAATTGAACGCCAACCGCAATAAACCTAGGTAGACAATAAAACTAAATGGAAAATTATTCAAGCCAGAGTCATGGAAGCAGAGCTTCTGGCTCCGTGTCCAGTGGTCAGTAAGATAGGAAAGATACTTTCTGCAGTGGCTGGTCCACACTCCACATCATCACTGTCTTCAGTGCCAAGTGTAACAGATTCACTCAAAAAGTCTATATTCTTTGTAGTAAGGAAATGGTTGTGACTTGCTGAACTCTCAGACCATCAGAGAAGGGAGGAAAATGCAGGTTGGATTGCAGATGGTTCATTCTACTTGCTCACTTGCACAGGACGGTATGTGTTCACGGTGGTTGCAGTGTGAAACACCATTGTGCATATTAATGATTTGCTTAACATTACCACTGCATTTGCCAAGGATTTACGCAAGAGATAAGTGACCTTAGATAATCCCCCTTTGTTTCCAATCCTGATAGTCCCAATGCCGTGCTGAATCGCCAGTATGCATGCTGAAGTGAAACATCATCCCCCCCAATCTCTTGAGCGTTGAATAAGATGATATGGAGTACATTGATGCAAACTGTATTGGCACTTTGCATTTTATGGTTTGTCTCCTTGCTTCAACCACCTCCACGTCGACCGCGTCCTCGATGACCAGCACTCCTGTCTCCATCGCCAATTCCCCATCATCCCGTTTTCTGCTTGTTTCCTTTCTCCAGCTTTACTGTAGGATCAAACCCCGGAGTGTTGATCAGCAAGATCAACATCAACAACGTCCGCTGAACGTTGAAACTGCTGTCCTTCACCAATCAACGGCGGATGATCATGCATACATCACATTCACTCCAACCGACGGCGATGATCCCCAGGTAAACATGCATACTTGGATCTATCATCTGCACCGCTTGATCGTGGCGTGGGTGACCTGCGAGGCTGCTGACAACAAACTTGATTTCGTGTTTCAACAGATGGCTGGTTGAAAGGCCCGTAAAATATCGAATCAGAACATGTCATCTCTTCTACGTTGGTAGACTAGTTGGTACTGTCATCTGTTCCTCCTTGCTGCCCAATCGAACCTGTATAAAAGCTTCTCCAACGACCAAGTGCCATCTGGATCTCTCTTCTCTGTTCTACACGGACAATCACACAACTGCCACTCCATATGTCCACAACTTCCAAGTTTTCAACCGTCCCCCTGAAGTTCCCAGCTCAGCAAGGCACTATCGGATTGCAATCAAATAGAGAAAGCATATCCCGTCTCCCGAGTATCCAGTAGTGGGTTCAAGCCACTGTACCTGACACATGGTCCCCGCCGAGCACCGCGGTTCTATCGCTTAAGAACGTTATTCTCTACAGACGGTGTCCTAAGCACGCAACTATCGATTCGAATGCGTTGAGCTTTGCCAGTACTGGCGGGTTCTCCGGCAATCCCCTTCCTGCTAGAGATTATGCGTAGAATGCGGATACTGGCCGTTGAAGCGTGGTCATGGGAAGACCACCGTTCAAAGAGATGTCTCAACTCCTGTCCTCCGTAGTAGACGAACTAGAATTTGGTAGATTGCTCACTCTTCATCATCAGAATGATCATGTGGGTCTCCAGTGTATTATTATCCAATATCTACATAGACTGATTAGGACGGGGTACCTCATACCTACCTATCATCGCCCAAAGTTCGTCCACGCTCCAGAACATTTCATTGAGTCTTACAAGGGAATCAGGAGTCCTCCTTCATACTTCAGTGTCAGGGTCAGCAGTCCCTTCATGTGCCTACATTCACCTCGGAGACATGGACATCCTCGTCAGCGTCGAGGGATGAACAACCACAACCCAAGTATGAAGGATGAAGTCACCTAGCTAAATCCTTACAGTCCCATGCCCCAAGTTACAACTCACCTTCGCATTCATGCCCTCGTTAACCATGATGCAATGCCAGAACCCCTCCGCTTTCATCTCATCATTCCACATGCCATGCCCCTGAAGGATAATGTCTCAAATCTTACCCTTCACCCCTTGCTACCAGCTACCGCTCAGACCGACCTGTCAATGTCATTCCAAGTCCACTCCAGCCAACGACGACCAACGGCGCAGAGTTCCACATACTAATATAGACAGCTTTAGATATTCTTATTTATCTAACTTACCAGACTCACACCCTACACAAACACCGTAGGGATACTGACAATGCACGGAGCACGGAGCATGAAGCCCAGAATGCAAGTACCAGCTTCTGATGCAGCTTCACACATACGCACCTAAACCCCATATCAATGTCAATGTCATACAGGAGTCAGGGCCATGCCCTTGCTTGCCTTGCTCGATTCTCCAACTCAATCTCAGCCAGCCTGCTCTTCGATAACCATAACCATAACCATGGATGACAGTCGTCACAATGTCCATCGAGATAGCCGATCTGTCACCTTCGATACGATGAACTGTTTCACTCTCATGTGCGTGAACGATGTGGAATGTCCAAAAAGCATACGGGGAGATACCACTAGGCTTTGAACATAAATGAATGTGGACAGCTTCGTCATTGAGAGCTCTGAAACTAAGGTAATACCAGATAGATACGGAATAGCAGGACATCGCCCCGGAGGATTGAGTCCAGCTCAACCCTCGACAGATCTCAGATCTATACGTGACCAGTCTACATATGATTTGATGCACCAAGGACAGAAGGCATATCATCACCATTACATTTATTTACCTGTCATCTATAGATACTAGAATAAAAGCAAGTATGAATCACAAGCGCAAATAGGAGGACTAGGAGGACAGAAGGAGGAAATGGCTGCAACCAGCAGTATGACAAGAAAAACACACACGAAGAAAGGTAAGACGTAGAATACAACCAGGAGACCGTCAGAGGAATACCTTGTCGCTCTGCCAAGTCTCCGGGTAAAGAACTTGGACATTTCTCCCCAGACACTCGTAATCCACCCAGTGCTGATCCTGCACCTGCCCATGCTGCAAAGTGACCCCGCCATA